AAACCGGAGGAACCAGGCATGGAGGGAGGTGGCAGAGACAGTGGGTGAAACTGGTAGGTTTTCGCCTGTTTGGGGAGTTTATATATATATATATATTGCTCGCATAAAATCCCCGGGTTTTTTTGCTTTGTATGCCGGGGGCGGGAGATTCATGTGATTGGTTGTTGGTCGCGAAAAATCCCCAAGCTCTCAGACACGCCTACCTCCAAGATTTTCAAGATTTTTTCAAAGATGCTGTGTGGACGTACCGTAACTGAACCTTGGAACTAGTGGTTCAGGTTAAGATGACAAGCAGACTCATAAAAGAAAAAATATGTAGATGTGAGCTTACCATTGTTCCTCTCCCTTTAATCTTCCGTCCAGACTTGGAGACTGAAGGTTTCGGGTCAGTTAAAGGACACGTTTCTTCTGTTTCCACACTGAGAAAATATCAAGTTTCAAAGTCAACACAGACACTTCATATGTATGTCGTCACTGTTAAGATGTATAAGATGACACATATCCAATGAAACCTACATCTCCGCCTTCACTTCCTGAAGTGGCACGTCCCGTCGCAGCAGGAAACGGTTCTCCGGCACAGGGGGGATCTCCTCCGGTCGCACTGTGAGCTTCTCTCTCCTCCCGCTCTGCTCCACCTCCACCTCCACCTCCAGCACCTCTTCCTCCACAGGACTGGGAGAGCTACAACCACACATGCAAAACAGTAATGTGTTATGCAAAGAACCGACCCAGCAGTGAATCGCGTGCTTCTCCTCTGGTGATTTGTAAAGTACCTCTGATTGGAGGGAAGAACTTCAACGCTCTCCTTCTGCTTTGATTCCCTTCTTCTCCTTTTGGAGCGTTTACTCTTTGCATGTCTCTTGTGCTTGTGATGTTTGTGGTTTTCATCCGATTCATTTTCAGATGAGGAGTACTGATAGGACGAGTCATGGGAAGAGAAGGACGAGTCGGCAGAGTGGGAGCTTCTCTTCCTCTTTCCCTCGAGAACTGGAGCAAGTAAACAGAAAGAAAGAAAGGTCAGAAGTCAGGAGTCACTTTCAGGGTGGTGTAGCGCTACAACAACTGAGGCTTTGTTTGATTGCTCTCGGTATGTCGGGGGAGAATGAAAGCTGGCAGAGTCAGGTGGGAAGATGCCAGCTGAACTTCACAGAGATCACGTCGCGGATCCTCATTAAACAGGAGATCAGGTTACAGTGTGTGGGGGAGTTTGTTAGGACACCCTCGGTAGTCCCTTCATCAAACTACTCTCAAGTCGTCCTGGCGTCTTCTGTCCAAGTCGTGCTGAGCTTCAGACTGAGCTAGTCGCTGATTCTAGTCCCTGAGCTGAGCTAGCCTGAAAGTCCAGTCCTGAGTCCCTAGGCCCGTGATCTATCTCCTGGTTTTTCTTAAAACCCCGCCTTTCGACCCAATAACGCTCGTTGTAACGTTCTCATGGTCCAAGTCTGTCTTGTTCTTCTCTATCATTCCACAGGGGGCTGCTCAGTTGTAGGATATAGCCCGTTTTGATCCCCGACTTAGATTAGTTCGCGAATTGATATTCGAAATAAGTTTTTCCTTTCAGAAATTCCGTGAGAAATTTTGCCTACCTAGTTACCTTAGTTAAGTTTCACAAAAACCACACTATTTATCAAGACCACAACATACGATTGAAAAGTAAATTTCTTTGACAGTAGTGTATTATTAGGTCGACGACGATTTGTACGCAACCTACAACGCAACGGCTCAGGTGCAGCAGAAACAGCTAGTAAAAGAGACCAAAACTCCACTATCTTCCACCTCCCCGACTTCCAATGCAAGAAGGTTCGTCTGAGATGCGACTGCAACTCGCACTACTGAACGCCCTGTCGAAGAAGTGGTTCAAGACGGTGCTGCCACTCAGTGAAGTCTAAGTGACTTCCGAAAAATACCAACCGGGCTGACTGCTCACACGCAGACACCTCAGACATATAGTTTCTAGATTTAACCCCGTCAAAAAATATACAAAACCTAATCTGTAAGGTCAAAGTTTTTCTTGGACTCCCCAATTGAATTGTTTTGTATTTTTGTGAGATCAACAACTTATCAAATTTCAACGGCTGGATAGTACGATAAACCTATAATACCAACACCTGGTATTTGGATAATTCGGTATATAATGAAAGTAAAAAGTTTATGGTTTTTCAGTACGAAAATCGGGTAAGGAGTAAAACGGATTATTAATTTTGGGGTGGCAGAAAAAAGCCCACTAGAAACAAAAACCTTTCGGGTGGTGGATGTCCGGACCGGACTGCGAGCCAGAGGTCGCGGAAAAGGTTTGCCGTTTACAGGCACCGACGAGGGAGTGACTAACGCAACCTCAACCGGGGTTAGTTTCGGCATCCGCGGTGAAGACACTGCAAGTACTCTTCACAAGTTTAGACCTAGTCAGACGACATAAAGTCTTAGGCAAACGTCGGGAAAAATTCTCTAAACCCATACCTCCTTTTATCTCTCCCAACACAAAAGACTGGTGAACCACCTGCAAGAGGACCTTGTGCGCTGTGTATAAAGTACCTCTTTTCTGCATGTGTTCACGTAAACGTACTATCCGAGGAAATTTATATACAATAATTATGAAATAGTTAACTACGTATGTACTCGAATGTATGGGTGAAAAACAAAAAGGAAACGACAACACCTATAAGCTTCACACAACGAACCATAGACGTACCCAGTATTTGCAGCCAAAAACATTCTGCGAACCGTAAACCTACGGACCATAAGGGGGG